TTTTGAATTGGTTTGTTTGTGACAAAAAGGTAAATACTTTCAAAGGTATTGTATATATGTGTACGTAGTTACAGCTATTTGCAAGTTATATATAATATCATTGGTTATTTAGCTAAAGATAGATAACAAAATCAGCTGTTCTATGAGTTATTACTGAAAGATTTCTTTTTCAGAATATGTTAGGGAAGCCCTCACAGTCTAGGTCTTAGTTCTGGCCAAACTATGACTTTGACTGGCAGGGAAAGTGTGCTGTCAAGCCAGGTGTTTCTGCACAAAAAAATGAAAGCAAGTCTCTTTGACTAGCTGATTGGGCTTTGCAGAAGCTGGACCCCTTTCCTTTGAAGTAGACATGGAGGCCTTGTCTGGAAGAGGCCTTCCAAGTCCTCATTGTGAAAAGGAGGCTCCTCAATGATGGCAGACCCCGGGTGATAGCAAAGCATATAAGCAGTTGTAAATTTCACCTTGTTAATTTTTTTCAAAGGTCCATGTTTTGCTGGGGTTGAATTATGTTCCTAGTTATTAAAACAAAGGAAGGGGGAGTGAGGTGGGTGTATAACCCCGTCAAAAGTCTTGGCTGTTCTCATGTATTTCAACCTAGAAAGCTGACAACTTGTCAGAGGCAAAAGATTGTCAACAATGGTAGGACAATCTACCCATCACCCTACTCGAACCCCAAGATTCAAACATTTGAGACACATCTCAATGGCAGAAAGATGTGTGCTTTTAATTGAAATGGTTTTGAGTTTAATTGTTTATTGTTTGTAGTGTTAAGTTGTAGAATTGTAGCTTCTAAGTAATGAGCCTGCAGCATGCCATCTTGAAAAGTTGTATTGCTGGTATTCGGTTTAACAGCTCCTAGATGTGAATGTTACAACTCCAGTGATACATGAAATGCATCACTGGCTAGGGGAGACTAGACTTGTTGAGTGGAAAGTCTCATTCAAACTAAGTTTATTATCTGTGGCATCATGTTGTCTTTGTCATCTGGTCTGCAAGGTGCCTGCAGAAGAGGACAAAGAACACTTTGCATTTTTTAATAAAACAAAGAGAGGGAATTGTCACAGCACAGCTGGACTATAGCTGGGCAAATAAATTTGGCCATAAATAAAAAACCCATTTTGGCTCTCCTTGTTTGATAAAGAAGTCCCTGGGTAAGCAGCGATAGGATAGATTTGAACTCAGAGCATCCCAACCAATCCCTTTGAACCCTGATAGCAGATGTTATCACTGGTCAGGGAGCTGGGCAGTGCTGAGACTTCAACCAAGTCCAGGCACGGGAATTTTGAACCCCCTATAAAAGTGGGTTATATAAAAGTGGGTTATAAACTAATCTGTTGGTTTCCAAAGAATTCTAGGTTTCCTCCAAGGAAAAATACCTTAGATACCTAGCCTTACTTTTCTCTGTCCTAAGGCTTCTGGCTTTCCTTGCTAGTCAGGTGAATCCTGCTAGCTATAGAGCCCCGGATGGAGTTGAGGTCCTGGGTGTCACCTTCGTGCCCTAGGGAAGTGCCCAGGCAATGTTTGAATGGAGCAGAGAGTGTTGCCAGCAGCCAGGACAAGTTCTCCAGGGAGATTTCAGGCTTTGGGAGTGACAGCAAAAGGGTAGCTGGAGAGATTCCATCTACAGAATCCAGACTTGCCACCTCTCATGGATAAGGGCCAAGTAAGTCTCCTCTGTTGCCAGGTCAAAGCCCAGATTATCCACAGTGGTTGTGCCCTCTGTAGCAAGAAAATATCAGAACTCCCCTGCATGCTGGCAGTCAGCACAGAGAAATTTGCCAAAAAGAGGTTATTAATAATAGTAATAGTGACTCCTTTGCCTTTCACCCACTCCTTCCATCTCAGGATCTGAAGAAATGTGGCCACAATAATGCAATGAAATTCCCTCCCTCCCAGCAGAGTTGGATGCTGAAGCCAAGTAGAATTAAATTACCTTTCCATGGCCATTTATCACCCATCACCTCCTTCAGTGCTCTACCAAGCACACAAACATAGCCCCTTTTCCTGTGCCCTGCTGAGGGGTGGCACTGATGAGACACACCAAGTTCACACTGTGCCTCTCTGCCATGTAATGCAAAGCAAAAATTCAACCCAAGATTAAGGGGAGTGCAGAATTAGAGAGAAGTTAAGCTGTGCTGAATGCATGGTGTGTCCCATGCCGGTGACCCAAAGAGACTTGCAGAGACCCAGCAGCCTCCCTGTGCTCCTGTTGCTGGGCTGCTTAAGGAGAGGCCAGGTAGGAGCAGAGAGCAAGGAGGGGAATGCCAGTCCTGGTGTGTCCTGGGCTTCGTACAGCTCCTTGCTGGCTAAGGGAATAACTGGAATCTGTTTGGGATGTCAACCATGTCCCCAGGGCTATGGGGAAAGGTGGAGTTAGTCAGTGGAGAGATACCATAGAGTCATAGAATGGTAGAGGTTGGAAGGGTTCTTAAAGACCATCTCATTCCACCCCCTGCCATGGGCAGGGACACCTTCCACTGTCCCAGGCTGCTCCAAGCCCTGCCCAACCTGGCCTTGGACCCTTCCAAGGATGGGGCAGCCACAGCTTCTCTGAGCACTTTGTGCCAGGGCCTCCCCACCTTTACAGGGAGCAATTCCTTCCCAATATCCCATCTAACCCTGCCTTCTGATAGTGGGAAGCCATTCCCCCTTGTCCTGTGACTCCAGGCCCCTGTAAAAGAGTCTCTATCTTTCCTGTCAGCTCCTTTAGGTACTGTAAGGCCACAATTAGGTCACTCCAAAGCTTTGTTTCTCCAGGCTGAACAATCCCAATTCTCTCAGGAAATATGTTTGAGGAAAGGGAGTCCAAAAAACAACCTAAATTATTCTGTGATTTTGTGCTGAGGGATATGCAGCATTTTGGTGCTGCTTGCTTTTTTTTTTTTTTTTTTTTTTAATTCCAGCTCTTTCTTCTCCTCCAAATCTTAAGTTTTCTACCCAGCAGATGCTCCAGATCCTGAACTATTCCGAAATGCCAATGTATTCACCATCCACAGCCATGTCCTTCAATACATCCTGTTCTGGAAAGTGGATTTCCATTGAAAATGTTGGGACTTCAACACTCCAACACGGACCTGCTTCCCTAGAATGAATGGGGAGATGTGTTTCATTTCAGAAAATTCCCTAGAGACCTAGAAAACCCTATTCTAGGTTGAAAATCAGACAAAATGCACCTTTTGTCATCTCCGGACTTCATTGGAAGTGCTTTGCTTATTTTTGGGGTTTATTAACAGAAAACAGTTTACAAAAGGAGCTGATGGGGTCCAAGGAATGAGATCCCTTTAGCGCTTCCAGGAATTAAAGTAGCAATAAAAAGAATCCTAGCCTTAAGTGTTGCTGTAGGAGCTGTGTCAGTGGGATGGGTTTCAGGGTGTCCACACTCCCTGGAAACCTCCGTGGGGCAAATGTCCTTCTCCAGTGTGGGAGATGATCACTCAGCAGCCCAGAAGGTGGAAAGCTTGGGCTGGGCACGTACAGACACTACCATCTAGTGGTGCCGGGCTCAAACCGCCCCCATGCAGCCCGGAATTGGCACGTTCCGCAAGGTTGGAGCTACTGCCGCTGCCAAATGGCTTCTCCCAGGGTGCTGAGAGCACCCATGAAGTCCACACCCTGCCCCAGGAGGGACCTCTGGCTGCTCCCTCTTCTCTACTCCGGCCGACACAGAGACATTGCCTTGATTTCGGGGGGGGGGGGCGGAGGGGGGCGGAAAGAGCCATCCAGACTCCCAACAGCTGCTCCTTGTGGTCATGGGCTTGGTCCTACAAATAGCAATGCCCACTGACATCAAGGGACAGTGAACTGGGATTAACTGGGGTCTTGCCTCATCCCACAGCTCCATGGGAAATGCAAGTCTCCTGCCTGAATAGCGTATGAGGAATCGTTGGGGTTTCTTCAGTGAAAGTAGCCCCAGGTAGCCTCAGGGGGCTCATCCTGTTTCATCATGTTGCAGCCAGGCTCTGTCTTTGCCTTTGCCTTTCCCTCAGCCCACCAGCAGACAAAATGCTCCTCCTGTGCCCAAACCCAACTGGGCTCGCCTCAACCCAAGCCCAGATCCCACCTGGGTGCTGGAATTACCGACTGAGCTCCTGCCTGGCACAGCTGGAGACACTGAACACTGCCCAAGGTACTTGAACACAGTGTGGGATGGGAGTCTGCTGTGTGTCTGGGGTGTCGGAGACCCAAGCAAACAGCATGTGTTGTGCTGGGGTTCATTCCAGTCGCAAGGAGTGAGGTGCTGCTAGTACCATAGTCTGCAGTGGGCTTTGGCCCACCCTGTGCCCCCCCAGCTTATTACTGACCCTGAGGAGGGAACGAGTAACAGAGCAGAGACCCCTGTGAGGGGCCCACAGCCCTGGTTCTGCCCTGGTTCTGCCATCCCTGAACCCATCTTGTCCCAAACCAGCTCTCCTAGTTGTGCTGGGGCTGCTTTCAGCACAGAAACCTGGGCACAGGCTGGGGATGACACTGATAGTAGTCTGAGTGCCTTTTGTTTGTTTGTTTGTTTGTGTTTTTAATTTTTTAAAATTATTTTTATTTTTGTGATGTGAATCACTCACACTCTGGTGCTTCCCATTTATCCCCAGCCCCCCTCCAGGGCTCTGCCCCAGATACCACCCAGCACCAACTCCTGCCCCTGCTCCCATACTGCTCGGACAGGCCAGCCAGGGAGCAGGGACACAGGGCCACCACCAGCTCAGCCAACACACTGCTGTGGCCGTTGGGGCCAACTTCACGCCAGGAACAAGGTTGCTGTTGCTTTTTGGGGCAATTGAAGGGAATTGAGCCATTGTGCTCTGGCAGGGCAAGAACCAGGCAGCAGTTCTTTAACAGCCCAGCACTGCCCCTGGGACAGTTCTTTGTTTTCCTCCATGGGTGACACACAGCCCCGGGCAGCAGGACATAGCCTGAGCCCTGCCTGGAACCCTGAGCCACACAGAAGTCCAGGAGTGGTGCAGTTACACAGTCCAAAAAACACAGAAAGGGAGAGATGGCCAGGCTCAAGGCATATCAGGTATTATGACACCTCCTGAAGCAGCTGGTGCACATCCATGTGTGCTGGGACATGGGGACAGTGGAGGCAGACAGGAGGAGCTCAGCACCATCCCAGGAGCTGGAGTTAGGGTTGATGGCAGGTGGTGATGGCAGGTGGTGTAGACTGAATGCACTGGAGGGAGTGAGGGAAGGCAGTGTTATGTGGGGCACAGCAGCACCAGTGACATATGGCTGCAAGAAAAAAGGAGCTGCTGGGCTTTTCAAGCAGTGTCCTGAACCCCCAAAACCAGTGATGGCTCCTGCCTGCTGGCAGCTGCCCTGTCCCAAAGAGAAAGTCCCTGTGTCCAGAGGGACCGAGGCCAGTGCAGAAGGGTCTCCAAAGCAACAAAAGCGAGACCTCCACGCAGGGTGTGGAGGAGAGCACAGGTCAGCGTGTGGTTCAAGCAGCTGCTCCTGAAATGCTCTTGGCCCAATGAGCACCAAAAAGTTCACAGACTGACAGAGATCATCCCATTTCTCTGTGTTCAGTGTATCGAGGGGCTGCTGGCTCTGCGAGCGACCCGCTGAGGTAAGGGCCGAGGTTTGCTATGGAAAGCATGTCCCTGGAGTTACAGACAACAGGGGTTGGAGGCAGTCAGGGACTTGTTAAATTACATGCAGTCATTCACACAGGCAGACACAAACAAGCTCTTCTGTAAACTGGGTTCCAAGAGATCCCATGGATCCTCAGCTGATCCCTTGGCCAGTGCTGGATGCGGCATCCTTACATGTTCCCGCGGTATGTGATATTGGTGAAGGTAGACGTGGCCTCTTTATATAAAGGATTATGGGTCTGGAGGAAGAAGGAGTATGAAAAAGAGCATCATCACTTTGTGCTTGGCATCAGCACTTGTAGTACTTAACATCTGGCGTAACTGAGGCACCATCTCAACATGGAGTGGTGGATCCTGTCTCCACCCAAAGCTTTGGATGAGCAATTTAATGGCTCCCCATAAGGTTTCTTGGGAGAGAATAGGGAAAAGCTGCTGTGAAGGAAAGGAAAAGCAGCAGGAGTTCAGAAGGAGAGAGACCACTTGAAAGAGCCCTCTATCCCATCCCATCCCATCCCATCCCATCCCATCCCATCCCATCCCATCCCATCCCATCCCATCCTTTTGTGGGGAGTTAGGAGATGAAGAAGAGGTGGGGGAGAGATATCAGAGAGATATGCTGTCCCACTCTCCTCCCTTGTGCTCTGAGTTCCTCAGTGCTTTCCAGCATCCTGTGGCAGGAGGGGCCTTCTACCTTACTCATGGGATGGAAACACTGATATGAGCAGTGAGTAAGGGGATCATGCTGCTGACAAGTGCTTTGGACATGCTGGAGGTGGGAAAATCATCTAGGACATTGTCTATCACCTGTGCCCTTGGGACCACAGTGGGCTCAGGGTAGGGGTGTCCTGGCTGGCAGTGTCACCTTGAATCCTGCCTGGGACACTGTCCCAGGCTTTAGAGAGGAATGGGACAAATTGGTCCTTAATGACCATATCATGCTACCACAGACAGCAGCTGGGCTCTCATGCTGGGAGCACTGGGATCTGGATCCCTCAAACCAGGGGCTGTGGGGTTTTGGAGCTCCTGCCCAGCACACCCAATGCTCCTCACCGTGTCCCACTTGGCCCTGGCCTTCTCCTCCTCGAAACGGGCAAATTCACGGCGGTCATGGATGGTGATGAGGAGCTTCCAGATGAGCAGGGCAGTGAGGCCAATAAGCAGGATGGCACCTGTCACTGAGAGCAGGACTACCAAGACATCTGGCCCCTTTGGACAGTCTGGAAGAGAGGAAGGCAGAGTTGGGGGAGGGCTCAGCAGCCCCAGGGCAACTAAAAGCAGCTCTGGGGCTACCTGGCCAGCAAGCAGGATCCTCCACCCTGAGCACAGCAGGCTCTGTGAAGGAGGATCCTGTCCATGGGGCACCTGTGCCAATATACTTGAGCACCTGTCTGTAGGGTGGGGGTCTGTACCCAAGTCTGGAGACAGATCAGGGGCATTACAGGTCCCACTCACAGTGGAGGATGACACCAGAGACCAAATCCTTGTACTTGTGGAAGTTTGCCCCAAACCACCAACCCACTGACACCCTGCCCCAGCCTCTGGCTGTGTGTCAACACTGAATTGGCAAATGCGGGCAGTGAGATCCAGTGTAAGCCTTCGCAGCTCCTGCTCTCCCTGCATACTACCCAGGGCCAACTGGTCACCCCAGCTCTCGCCTGCCTCTCCTCTCCCATCTGCCTGTGGGGCTGAGTGTGGGCTGTACCCTGCCCATGGCAGACAGCTGCAGTGGGAGCTGGTGGCTGTCTTCATGGCCCTGCTTCTGAAGGATCTGCAGCCACACAGCCCCAGGCTCAGCTGAGGTCAGTGTAGACCCCGGGGCTGCTGATGGGAGGCTCCTCTGACCTGCTTTCCAAGAAAAATCTCCCCTACAAAGTTAGACATACGATCAGGGTGGTGGGAAGGTTGAACCCCCTTCCTTGGCCTCAATGAGGGGGTGAAATAACTTAGGAAATGTGATACCTGAGAAGCAGGAAATCACAGCCCCGGTGGCACTGAGCAGGGAACAAAGAAGTTCTTTAATCCCTCTCAGCCCCCAGCTGTGATGTCTCATGAGCCTGGCTGGAGTGGGAGGTACAAAGGGCACTCAACATCTCCCCATTGTGCACAGAAATACAGCAGAGCACATTCTGCAGCCACCAGCCTAAGTGTGGCAGCTGGGTCTCACCAGGCTCCTCAATGACGTAGAGGATGGACTTGCCACTGGAGTCCTCGTAGTACTGGAACCTCATCACACAGTCATTCTCATCCTTATAGGTGCAGTTCACAGCATCCTTACCTCTGTCACCTGCCAGAGGGAAAGCTCAGAGCCCCCATGCTGAGGGGTGCACACACAGAAGGAAAGCGTGTGGCATACACAGCCCCCTGGATTTCCACGTATTAGGGCAGGGGTTGGGTCTCCTCTTACTCAGTTCCTGCACTGTCTCGATCTCATCACGGCACATGCGGCTGCAGGACTGCTGCTCCACTAGCTTTCCCCGCTCAAACTTCTTGCACTCCACGCAATCCCTGTGAAAGAGGAGGGAGGTACCATGAGCTTCTCCATGCTCTCCTCAGTCACACCTTTCAGTCTCAGGCTGTGGAAATCATAGCATTCCAACACTACAGGGGTGCAGATAGTAAAAGCTCCTGCTACCAGTGCTTCCTGCTCCACGATGGGATATGACCCTTCCCAGCTCTCTGCCAGCCCACAATGTGGAATGACCTGTCCCAGCCCTCTGCTCTCTCTCACTTTTTGATGGTGCAGGCATCTGGGCAGGTGGGGCACTTCTCGCAGGTGTCTCCGTAGGACCCAGGCTGAGTGCACTCACAGCGGCCGCATACGCAGGAGCCATGGCCACTGCACACCAGCCCATTGCTGGACATGCAGGTGTCAGTGCGCGTGGTGCAGTTGCAGTAGTCGCCTGTCCAGTCTGAGTTGCACAGACAGTCCCCACAGCTGCACTGCCCATGGCCTGGGGACAACCAAAAGGCATCAGAACTCTAAGTGTCTCCACAGAGCCTGTTAGCAATTCCCCTTATGATGCCTATGACCCAGACTGGCAGCTCACACTCTGTGGGCATGTCAAGGCAGACCAGCCACCTAGGACAACTCCTCTGCACTGTCCTTGGGGTGGGACACAGGGAAGCTCATGCCAAACCCAGACCTTCACCATGTCCCCAACACTCCTCTTATTCTACCCAAGCAAGAACAAATTCCCACATTTCAGCTGAGCTGCCCCAGCTCCAGCAGCAGCAGCTGGAGATGCTCCATCAGACCTGTCTCTGAGCAAGTCAAGTTCTGGCTGTGGCTTTGAATTTCAGATCGAGTAAGGATATCAAAGTCAAAAGCCCCCAAGTCTCATTCCTTTCTCAGGCCTGGACCAGACAGGGAAAGCTGACTGCTGCAAAAAGCCCAACACACACTCACCGAGAGCTGTTTAATTAGACAGTCAGACAGTCAGGCTCAAATCCTGCCAAACCCTGGAGCTATTTGGATTGTGGTTTGATTCCAGATCAAAGATGAGACACAGTAAGTGGTGGAAACACTGTGGAGCTGCACATGCTGACCTGTCCTAAGCCCTAAGCACAGTGGGACATGTTGGGAATGCTGCTCCTGGCAGGGGATTGGCTGGACACCATCCCAGCCATACCCTTGGAGACACTGACATGTGAAATAATTAATAGTTTCCCACTAATGAGGAACTAGGGTTGAGTCACAGGAAAATAGTGCCATGCTGTGTGACAAGGCATGGAAACACACAAGTAGTCTGGGGAGAAGTGGCTCAATGGTATGGGATTGATGCCAACGGGGTCAGAGAGTTCAGGTTAATTAATAGCCCACCCTGGCCAGGGGCAGCTCTTCATCATTGCCTTTCACCCATCCTGGGGACCTTCAGCCTTTGTTTAAACAGGAAGAGGCTCCTTGAGGACAAGACTACTCAGGGTGGGGGAAACTCAATGTTTCCACCTTCATTATCAGCAGCCTGTTAAGATAAAGGATCAATCTGAGCTGCACAGAGGCAGTGTGAGTCATGAAGTTGGCCTGAGGGGCAGATGGGGTCCCAAAAATTCAATTTGGGGACATCAGGGAGCAAGAATCAAGTAAGTGTCTTCTGGCCCTCGGCTTCACCTCACCCAGGCTGGGCTCCAGCAGAGTGTAATCAGCTTTGGCCACTGATGTTTTCCTGGGGATTTCTAAGATTTCAGCAGGAAAGTGGTGGCTTTTTGTAGCACTCCGTTAGCAGCTACCTATCCTGCGTTTACAGAGGGAGACTGGGGTTAAGAATAGGGCTGGCTACCCCTCTCCCATTCCCCTCTTGAATCAGCTTTGGGGTGCTCTGCTCCTGGAGAGGATGTGTCGCAGTTTCACTCCCTATTCCTAGGCACTGTCACCTCTCTCACATTCTTTAAATATAGGAGATGGGCAGAGCACTGCGATCACTCAGACCTTCAGTGTTTACTGGAGATGTGGGCGGAAGGAGCCTTAAATGAAGGCTCCTGGTGGGTAAGAGACCCTGGCATATCAGAACATTTAGAACTGCTGTTGGGATGGGGAATCTGCAGGAGGGCTTCTTCCCTGGAGAACCAGAGAACCCAAGGACCTGGACCTCTCTTCCCAGTACTGAGAGCAGCTGGACTTGAGAGGGGGAGTCTGGGAGCACATGGAAAAGACAAATATTCAGGAGGGGAGATGCTGTAACACCTGTGAGGAGGGAGGATTTACTTCCCCAACACTTTTGTCAATAGGAAGTCTTCCAGAACTCCTGGAAGAGGAGGAGAAAACCCACCTCTCCCCCCCCTCCCCCTCCACCCTGGGGTTTCCTCCTGCAGAGCAGTACTTCTGATGTGTTTGAGCAGTGGTTCAAGCAAGGTCCCTGCCCTGTGCACCCCAGAGCTGCTTTGCTTGGTCCCCACCAGGCCTCCTTTTTAAATTTTTTAAATTTCTAGCCCATCTCCACTCCTATCTCTCAGGCACAGGAGGTGATATCAGTGGCCAAAAAGGGAGTAATTCCCTTGGCATCACTTCAGACCAGGGCAGGTCCAGAGAGATCCATGGCTGAACAAGCCAGATGTGGAGGCAACTCATGGGACAAGCCCCAAAATGACTGGTGTCTCCCTTGACCATGATCTCAGGCAGCCTAAACAGCCCCAAGCTGCCACTCTGTCAAGCCCAGCACTCACCTGAGCACATCTGGCCCTTGAAGCGAACACAGGAAAAGTCGTCGCACTCGCAATACTTGCCCGTCACCTTCCCAAAGTCGCTGCTGTGGCACACACACTGCCCGCAGATGCACTCGCCACGCTGGCTGCACAGGGGCTGGCCTGGCTGGGGACTGCAGTTATCCTGCTGTGAGGGGTTGTACTCCTCCTCTGAGCACTCACAGTGTGAGCCCAGGCGCCCAGGGTTGCAGCGGCACACGCCGCACTCCAGCGTGCCATTGCCATGGCTGCAGGACCGGCTGTTGGCCTCAGCACTGCTCTCACAGGAGCACTCACAGTTGAAGTTCACCTCCACTGTCAGGCTGTCCTTGAAGCCCACAGGTTTGATGGTGAAGAATTTCTTCAGCTCCTGGGGGCAGCCCCTCACTTTGGCCTCGATGCTGAAGCTCACCTGGAGGGCAAAGGTATGTGTCTGGATGTCAGTATCTGCTCCAGTCCATGCCCCAGCTCAAGGAGCTCAGAAATAGGACTCACCCAGTCTCTTTGGGCTCATCAAAGCTTATCAGTGTGGGCCAGAGAATGTACTTGCCACAGTAAACAGGAAAATTTTAGATCTGATATTAGGAAAAATTTCTTCACTGAGAGGTTTGTCAGGCACTGGCACAGGCTGCCCAGGAAGAAGTAGAATCACTGTTGCTGGAAGTGTTCAGAAAACCTGTAGATATGGTGCTTAGGGACATGGCTTAGTGTTGGACCTGTCAGAGATCAGTTAGCGGTAGGACTTGATGGTCTTAGAGGGCTTTTCCAACCCAAATGATTCCAGGTTCCCATGCCCTGTGTGAAGCAGCCAAGGCTGCGCTAGAGAGATCACAGAGTTTGCATCCAGCAGATTCAAAAAAAGAATTTTCCTTCTTGCACCCACCCTGCTGGACCTCTGTCTCTCTAGTGCTGAGATTCCAGGGTCTGTGTCACCTGGGAGGTCATGGGAGAAGCAGATGGTGCTGGTGCAGAGCAACAGATGACCTGCCAGTGCTGCTACACAGAGGGGAGAAAAGCCAAACCTATGAGCAGGATCCTCACCGTGTCCCCGATCTTGAGCCCCATGCAAGACTTGAGCCCAGGAATGACCTCGTCGTTGAGGCAGGTGGCATTGAAGGCCAGAGACAGCTCTTCAGGGAGGTCACGCACCTCCAGCTCCACTTTGGAGCGGATTTTCTAGGGGAGGAGAGAGGACTGATGAAGACATAGTATGGGCTGGGCAGGGTTCAGCCCTGGGAGGGTCCTCCCTTGCCCCCAGAACCACAGTGGGAAAGGAGCCAAGTGCCCCAAGTCTTTCTCAAGACTCAGCTGTGCCACCATCTAAAGGGAAAAGAAGGAACAGTGAACACAGTGACCTTCCACCCCCAGGGTGCCTGCACACATGGCTGGAGGCAGATGCTCACAGCTGGTCCAAGGAGGATGCTTGGGGCTGGGGCAGCTGACAAATCTGTGTGGGTTGTTGGCAGTGGGAAGAAGTGGCTGTTTTGTTAGGGAGAATGCTGTTGTGGGGCCATCACACTGCACACTCACCCCGTAGGAGTCCACTATGAGCTGCAGGACGTTGCTGGAGTCTCTGGACAAGGTGCCCACAGTTGTGCCCGGGATCAGCTCACTGTAGTTCTGGAGGAATATCATAAACAGGGTCTGTTATGTGATGGGTAAATGTGCCATGGCTAGGTCAAACCCTGTCCAGGCACAGGGGAGCTTTGGTAGGACAGGAGACCACCAAGCCATGTCCAGCCACCCATGGCCCACTGGCCCCCCAGGAAGATGGCTTTGCACAGCAGCTGGTACCTGGTAGAGGCCAACAACCGTATCTGTCACAGCAAAGATCAAGTTGATGTTCTTCTGTGAGAGTTTCTCAGTCATCAGGCCTAGAGAGGGATAGTCCTGGGGAAGAGGAGAGGTATAGCCTAGGAACATGCACACCTCCCCACCTTGGTCCCCATCATGCTCTCCAACCATGGCTGAAACACTTTTCCCATCCCATGGGGACCCAACAGGAGCTCTGGGCTCCACAACCCCATGCCTGGGTCAGGCTTTACCAGAGTGGTAGTGGCAGAGTAGAAATTATCCTCGTCAATGTGGCACTGCGCATCATTGGGCTGCACAATGCCAGCCAGCCGCCCGTCCAGCGCAATGTGGGTCTTTGCGTCCGTGGTGAAGACAAGCAGGTGGGAAGCATCATTCCTCCAGCCAATTTTTTTCTGCAGTGAAAGGCAGCTCCCAGTCATGTGTCAACACATCCTGAGGGCAGTCCCATGTGCCAGCACCCCCCTGCTGCCTTTGTGCAGGGGGTCACAGCTTGGCCTTAGAGACCAACCTCTGCACAGGGAACCAAGGCAATTGCTCTCCCAGGGAAGTGCTGTGGGAGTGTGGGGTCCAGAAGGTGGGCATGGGCTGCTTGTAGGTGAAAGATGAGTTTGAATTGGTTAGAGTGTTAATCAAGGTAGCTAATGACTCGGGATGCAACACCTCCAGCAAAAGCCCGGTGAAGACACAGGAGGTGTTGTCCCTTATGGATTGGTCACTGCAGGGCTGAGATGGTATTGTTCCTGAGCACCTGCTCCACTCCTCTCCTGTAGCATGATCCCATGAGAGTCCTGCTCTTCCCTTGGCTATTGGGCTAGAAATATCTCACTTGAATTTTCACCGTCTCCTGAGATCAGTCATGCAACAACTCAGTAAGGTTTATTATTATGTCCTGGAGGGATTGGTTGGTCCCTGCCAACCCAAGTGGCCCAGCCTGCTGACCCTGTCCTGACCCCAGCCAGGCCTTCCTGCCCCTTACATCGCACACAGTGGCCTGGATGATGGCATCGAAGCCACCCTCAGGTGCATCACGGTTCCGGGAGACACTCTGCTTCTGCACCTCCTCGTTGAAGCGAGTCACCTCATCCGTGAGCGTCAGGACGTGTTTGTACCCAAACATGGGCAGGCAGGTTTCCCCAATCCTGTGGGAGGAAAGCACTCAGGGCACAGGGCTCATTAGGCTCTTCCAGCTCCCATCCCTGCCCTTCAGCCATCCCACATCCCATGGACCTGCCCAGGGTGTGCTAGAGGGACCCAACCTCCACCAGAGCCTGAGGCTGGTGAAGGACCTTTTAAATAAGATTAATGTTGTAGGGATGGTGGGTTCAGGTCAGCTCCCAGCCTCAGTCTTGCTGGGATTTTTTATAAGTCATTTTCTTCCAGCCTCAACATTTCTTTTGAAAAAATGATGTAATTTTTTTCCCCTCAAGGGTATTTCAGTGATAATGATATTTCTAGTTTAGACCTGTGCCAGCAGAACACATATTGCATGAAGTTTTAAACCCTGTCTGGAATCAGGCACCCATTTTTCCCCAGACTCAGCTTCACTCCTGAATTCTCGGCCTACTCCCCTCCTACTAGCACAGGAAAACAGGGAATGGGGGATGAACTCAGATTCTAACGCCTCTGCCATTCCTTCCTCCTCACACTCTTTCCCTGCTCTAGCCTGTTGTCCTTCCCGTGGGAGACAACCTTTCAAGAACCTCTCAAAACCAGGTAATTTCTGGGCTGCAGTTCTTCACCAACTGATGTGGATTTCCAGCCACATTGCAGTGGTGTCCCATCAACTTCTGGCTCTTACATGACTCCCTCAACCTGGACTTACTCATAGCAAGGGTTCTTGACGGCTTCTGGAGGAGATATGTACATATAGGGGGAAATGGGTTTGTCCACAAAGGCCCCAAAGCCGATGCGTAGGTTGCTGGTGAGCTTACGCATCTCACTGGCCAGTTTTGTGCCCAGGTTCTGGATGTTCCTCAGATCATCCTTCATTGAGTTGGACAGGTCCATCAGGTAGTAGATGTCCACTGGGTAATCTTCCACTTGACGCACTTGGACATGAAAGACCTGGGAGTCATCTGCAAAGTGACAGGGCAGTAGAGTGAGAGCTCATCTCCTGGAAAGGGGAGGAGGGCTTACCACAGGTTTAGGGGAAAAGGGGTCAGCAGGAACCCAAGGGGATGGTTAAAGCTCCTAGGAGGAGAACATCACCCTTAGACAGAGGGGAAAAGCCCTCAGTCAGGTGCTTGCACAGGAGATGTGCTGTGCACCCCTTGGAAGTGTCCAAGGCCAGGTGGGATTGAACTTGGAGTGACCTGGTCTAGTGGAAAGCGTCCCTGCCCATGGCAGGGAATGGAACAGCATCATCTTCAAGGTCCCTTCCAAACCCAAAACCATTCTGGAATTCTATGGCAGATGGGGGTTATGGCTCCTGTTCTCCTAACCTCTCAGTGCCAGGACAAGAGCAGGGCTCATGTCCTGTCCAGGGCTGACTTCCCAAGATATCCTACAGGAACAGCTGGATGGAGTGAGGAAAATCCTCAGCGTATGGGCAGCAGGTCTTAAGGGGAGCACAAGGCAGGCAAGGTTGCTTTGGACTTCTCTGAGCTTCCAAGGACTCTGACCATTTTCTGTGCCCTCTCCCATCCCTGTTCCTTTACTGTCCTCTTGGCTCTCCCAGACCCTTCTGAGAAAATTTTTGTGAAACATTTTACATTGAAACAAAAACCTCCTTAGAAAGAACCTCCTGGGAAACATCCCAGTTTTGATGACTTTTGCACTAAAAAAAATAATAAATGCTGAAAGCACTTAGGGTTGACCTTTTCTCTTTGCATTTTTAAGAGGCATAGGTCCTTTCTTCTGATCTTTGAAATGGTTTATTTGAAACATAAGCCAAGACACAGCTGCAGCCCTGTTGGAACACCTCAAGTGTTGAGAAAAAAAGGCCTTAACTGGGCTTAAATTATTATTGTTTTCACATTCCCGTTTAAGTCTGCATGCCACATTCTTTCAGAATGAAGAAAGTTTCAAAATCTATGACAGCCCAAAAAGCTCCATCCTTTCTCTAGCTCTGCTGGGACCCCACCATGGAGCCAGGGGTCCCATTTTTGTGCTTAGAGAGCAGCTGTTTGTCCTCATTGAGCTGAAACCATGAGGATTCTGAGCTTGTAGTACATGAGCTGTGACCTGTCCTGCTTGTACCCTTTGTGATTTGGTCTTGGTTCATGAGTCAAGGCAGATGACTTATGCCAAACCTTCTTGGTGTTGCAGAGATGGTATCAAGCTGGGGGTCTCTTCTCTTTATTCCAAAGACTCAGCACTCAGAGCACTCAGAGCAGCACACTCACCTGCCTCCTGACAACTACCTTTAGACCTAAAGAGAACAAGGGCCACTTAGTAGCTCCATATCCCCACTGTGTGGAGATTCCTCTGCCTGCTGTCCTCCCACTGGGGCAAGACTACCTCTTGGCCATGCCCAGGGATGTGCACAGAGGCCATGTGCCCAATTGTTTGAAATTCCTGAATGCTGGCAAAGGACCAGAGCAGTTAATTGGCTCTAGCCTGCTTGGCTGAGCAGAGCCTGGCAAATTACAGGGATCTAGTGGCAGCCCAACCCTGCCAGCTACTCCATGGCTTGTTAGATATGAGTAACTTCCACCCAGTCATTCTGAGCATGGCAGCAATGCCTCGGGTCTTTTTAAAATACCCCATGTGTTGTTGAAGTTGCATCCTATCCAGCCCCTCAAATACCTCAGGACTGAGGCAAGAGAATGGACACAGTGATCAGACAGCTCATCTGCCCGCCAGAGATGTTCTAGAGGATTCTGTGCTGCTGCCAGACTGGCCTTGACCCCAAAGGACATGAGACCACCTTGGCCAGTAAGGTAGAATGATGGCTCACTCAGTGCCTGAGCCCTCTGGGTTATTCCCACTGCATCCCCCATCTCCTACAGCAGTCTAGGGGTTCTTACCTGGCCGCAGGTTCAGCTGTATTCTCTGGGGGCTCATCTGAGTGGTGGTGGACCCCCCCGAGCCCTTGCTGCTGAGGGGCCGGTCCTCCACAATGATGACACTGCTGCTGGGGGACTCAATGTGATCCAAGCCGCAGCCGTTGTGCAGGAGGTTGGCACGTAGGTCACAGCGAGGGGTCGACTGCGCCCAGACCTGCGAGGGAGGGACATGGTCAGGAGCCTCTCAGGACTATGCTGGGAGAAGAAGAAAGGCCCTACCTTTTCCTTGGATAGTTCCTGCTTTATCACACCTAACTCCAGACCAGGATCAAAGGCTTCTTGGGGAACACAGTCTCTGCCTGAGGAAGGCAGCAGACAGAGGGGATTTGGGATTAGCAAATCCTGCTGGGGTTCAGACCAGGAGCCCATCAGCCCTTGCCAAGGAATGGCCCTTGCCAAACACATCCCTGCCAACCTCGTTGGTTGATTACTGGCAGCTGGAGCCTTAGCTTTGGGTTTTGGCAGAGCTAAAAGGAAATCCTGTCTCTCTGGGATGGCTAGAGGAGGGTGTGGCAGGATGTGAACATGGCAAGCTGAGCAGAGGCGGTGTGAGATTTTAAAAATTGTTTATTACTTTGACAAAAGACAAATCACCTTTCCTCCCCATTTTTCCAATATGGGCCCTTAGAAATCCTGCCATGAGCAAGGAGTGTGTCCACTGTGGGTAAGCTCATTGCACAGACCAGTGCTCAGTTCCTGTCTGGAAGTGGATCATACATATCTCCAGCTCTCCAGCTTCCTAACGGATGGAGCTGACTGGGGAAAGAAGCACCAAAAAAGGAGAGAAAGAGTGCAAAGGCACTGGGGCTGCAGGAGAAGCCTTGAAGAGCCTGTCAGGGGCAGGAAACACGAAGTGTGGAGTCATGGTGAGCTCCTCCTTTCCTAGAAAGCTCCTGGCTCCTCATCCTTATCACAGAACATTCAGGAGGGTTTCTATTCCTTTGGTTGCTTATGAAGACAAATATGGGAAGAATTTCTCTCCCAGCCCAACACTGCCATGACCTGCTGCCTCATGTTCCTGCTCAGGCAGCGCCAGCCCTCCCCACCAAAGAGATTCTTTATCTCCCTCCCTCAGCCCAAATCTTTCTACATTGAAGTCCTCCAGCAGAGGACCACCACAGTTTCCCTGCAGCAAAGGGAGGTGGCACAAATCCTAGTAGGGCTGGTTCAGTGCCCTCCCTGCTCCTGAGATGCTGGAATCCAGTGCTGAGCCTTTCAGTGCTGGAGAGCTTCCCATGCAGGATATCAACTGCCCAGGGTTCAGGCTGGTGGAACCCAGGGATGAATTTGTTTTATGCAAATGAGTAGAAAACCACAAATGGTGTCAGGAGGCTCTGGCTGGCCCATGGGCCTCTGAAAACGGTGGTCAAGTGATAGCCAAAAAATACATCAGCAGGCGTGTTCCTATCCTGCCCCTGCCTGGACAGTGTGCTGACAGAGAGGAGGATGAGTCATCCCTACAAATTAGCTCTCTCACACCCACCCACCCACAAGCTCACTCCACAGGGCTCCCTGCTGTGAGAAGGGGTGGCTGGTTCACTCCAGATTGTGTCAGTCATCATGTCCCAGTCAGGGAAATCACTGAAAAAATACGTGTGTGAAAAGCATGCTGGGCAGGTGGGTTTTAACCATGCTGCTTGGTGATACCTGGAGATCCTAGGGAGCTCCCAGGACCTCAGAGGCCTCATGGCATCCTATGGTCATAGCAGCATCATTCCTGCTGTGGGATTTCCATGGAGAAACTGTTTAACCCCAGGCTGCATCCTTCCCCTTTCTTTGGAGCCCTATGACTCAAGACTTACAGGAGCCTCCTCAACAACAAAAACTACCACAAAAGTGGGGCATTTGGCTGCAAGGCTCTGGCAGTTTTTGACTCCAGGCTCTGCCACTTTGCTGACTCAACACCTGGGGCACAGCCCTAGTTAGGAGTGACCTGGAGGCAGCCCAAGGTTGCTGGTGACAAACTCCCAGCACAGGGATTTCATCCATGAGAAATACATTCCCTGTCGGAACAGCCCTAATGGCATCAGCTCCCTACAAGGAGATGTGGGGAGACGTGTGCTCCATCTCTATCCCAGCCATCCCATAGCCCTTCCCAGAGATGCTTGCCAGCTCTCCCTGCTCTCTGTCCCACTGCAGACTGGACATCTGCTCACACTCCCTTCAGAATGGGAAACCTGACTATTTTATCCCAATTTCTGCCTCCAGATCTGATTAATGAGGGCAGGGTCAGGCAGGGCTCTGGCAGGGCCAGTTCCATCCCTGAGCTCCCAGGGCGGGAGCCTGCAGGAACTTGCATATTCCCCAGGACATCTCTGTTTTCATCTCAGACACAACCACATGCAGCATCAACTGCTTTGCAGGAGAGCTCTTGGGAGTGCGCGGAGTACAGATACCTTCACAAATTAAGCTAAAACCTTCCAGCAGCTTCTCTAAAATCCAAATCTGGTGCAGTCTGGGCTCTAAGAGATCCAGAGTGGGTGACATTTTGGGTGGATGAGACCCTGAGGGATCTGTCACAATAATCTCTAAAGGGATTTTAGAGATATGTCTCAGTGTTACAGCTTGGCTGGCTTTTTCCAAAAAAGCAGATGAGAACATCTAACATTTGTTAGTAAGAGTGGTCAAGGTTTCTGAAAAATAAATAAAACTCAACTCTGCCCTGCATCAGTGCTTGGGGGGGGGGGTCAGTGATCACAAGAAACCACAACTAAATCATTCTCCAATCCAAAACCAGGACAGAGCAGGAATAACTCATCACCCCAGGCTCCTTGGGAAGGGAGTGTGAGTGGAAAAGGGCTGTAGTGGGAACAGAAGGAGCACAAATATGGGCACTGTCCCTTTAAAAACGGGGGATGGGGGGGTGGTGTTACAGTATCTGAGACCTCCCCTACCCCAGGGAAATTAAACAAACTCAGGAAAAAACCCTCATTTGCTAAATTAAGACAATGTGGTCCAGATGTTGGACTCAGAGCTGCTGAGCAGAGCGCACAGTCTGGCTCTCCAGAGGCTGAGTCTGGCAGCAGCACAGCTCCCTTGCTCTTGTCATGTCTGCCCAGGAGCACAGCTTGAAGCAGCACTGGAAATATTTCCTTTTTTGGAAACCTTTGCTGATCTGCAGGAAAAAAAAAAAAAAACCATCACGGCTCCCACTGCACCATCAAGCCATCAAGCCACCAGTGCAGCCCAGGATCAGCAGCTGGGAAGGAGGAGCCCAGCCCAGCCACTATTCCCCCTCGGAGGGGAGATGGAGAGGGAAGCCAGGCTCCTTATCAAGCTGCATGTTTCAGCCACTCCTTTTGGGAGATAAAATGGGAACAAACATCCTTATTCACACCACATGCCAAGAGTCAGATCTGATGAGCTCAGCAAGCCAGAGGCCTCCCCTCTGGATATGCACTGATCCCAAAGCATTAGACCATTGCTGGCATGATCCAGTGTTTGGATCACTTTTCCCAGGTCTTTTCCAAGTTCCACTGGGCACTTCGGGCACAGTTTCAGCTGATAGAAGTGAGTCTTCAAGGAGAGAGAAGGAGAAAGCAAGGAAAGCCTTGAAGAAGGTTTCATCACCTCTCCCCATCCCCATCACCTCCCTTGGCTCTGCCCTGTGGCTCCTCTCCCATTCCCTTGGGAAACTCCTTCCTGTTACCCAATAGATCAACTCCCAGGGCAGCATTTTTGGACAGGACTATGGCAGATCTGCTTGGCTCTCACCTACCCAAACAAGATGATTTGAGAGCTACAGCTCAGCACTCACATCCACTTTAGCTCAGTAACCAAAACCAGGCACCTTGTCTTCTCATTTCTAATGAAAAAAGGCTTTAACCCCTGCCCTGAACTTCTAATGAGTATTTTCAATTCCTCCTTCCAGGCCCTCCAGGCCCCCTTCCCTTTTCAGGCCTTCCAGGAATTAGGCTCCTTCAGCCAGAGCCTTGCAACAGGTTTCCAAGAAGCAAACCAAAAGTTAACTAAGTTTTTTAATGGATAATATTTGAAAGATAAAATGAATTCCTAGTGGAAACACCACAATTTCCCAGTTAGCTCAATGTTCGTGCCACCAACACACCCAGATAAGGGGCATATTTTTGGAGCAGGGCAGAAGCAGTGCCCACTGGACAAGTGTCTTGAGCTGAGGTCTGAGCCAGGTGCTACCAAAGAATCTGTTTAGATACGGTGGGAACAGATGGAGACTGAGCTTGTGGCTTTAACCTAGACTCATCCCAAAGGTTCTTCCCTTCCTTTACATCCCCTGCCCTTCTCAGGGATGTACCTCAGCCCCCAGCTCTTACCTCAGCAGAGCACCAGGTGCAGAGGGGACTGACAGCCAAGCACTGCTTGCAGGAGTTCACCCCACGGGTGGTGCAGATGTTGCCCCCTGAAACAGCAAACCAGAGCATTTAGAGCCCACAGAACCCAAACTCACATGTGTGCTCAGCCACCAGCTTCTGAGCAGCCAGAGCCCCACCAAAGCCCTTCTCTATCCCTTTTTCCACCCGCAAACCCTGGATGTTGCCTCCTTGCTCTCCCCAGCCTGGTATGAGCTGAAGATCATTCCTTACCTGCAAGCTCCTCAAAGTGTCCTCTTGCCCCTGCAGCATCACATGGATGTTGGAGTGAAGCCCCCAGTGCTGGCAGGGGGTTCATCTATCATTGTGCAGACACTTTGGGGCAGCAGGAGTGGAAAAGGTGAATTCCCAGGCATACAGGGTGGTACCCACAGCCCTGCCAGGTACTGGCTGCCTCTTGCCACCACTTCAACCTGGGGTGGTTGGTGCCACCTTGAGCAGACACTAAACCCAGTGGCTGATCTTGGCTTGCCTTCAAATCCAGGGAAAGGAGGGGAGTGAAAGGGCACAAGTCCAGAAATGTGCTGGTGGTGGCTGGCACCAATGTCCCAGGCAAAGGTTGGGCTCTGTCTGTGGCCGTGGGGACTCTGGGAGACACGTTGTTATTAGTCCTGAAGGTCAGAGGCCGGTGAGCCCATGGTGGAGGAATTAAAGGGCCACAAAATGCCTGTGGAGTGGGGGCCAAGAGGAGCTCCTCTGACACAGACCAGAGTGGCTGGCCCTGTGGTTCCTGCTGTCATAGGCTGATGTGACATGTGGCTGGGACATCACTGCCGCGGTGTCACCCTTGGCTTCCTGTGCCTCCTCCCGCCTGGACACAAGCATTTCAGCAGTTTTAGGATTCCCCAGACAGAGAAAACTGCAGCCAAGTGCCCACTTGGCTGGGACACACTGCAGCCTGGGGAGCCTGGGGGATGCCAGCAGGGAGCAGTGGGCAGGCACTAGGGCCTCTCCTATGCCCTGTGTGCCCCCATGGTTACCCAGGGCTGTCCCAGCAGTGTCCCACAACTGCAGGAAATGCAACACAAAGCAGAAAGAGGAAATGGTGAAACAACATCATAAAATCTTTGAGCAGAACCACAACCACAGTACCGTGCAGTCCTGCCTGCTGGCATGTAGCCAGGGAGTGTACACACGTGTTCATACCTGTGTGTGTATGTATGTCTATTTGAGGGTGGTGTCACAGGCTGTTGCTGTCCCAGGGGCCAGCAGCTGCTTGGGAATTTGCCCCAGGGTGTCCCCATCGCACCTCTAACTCCTGCAGTTCCCACTTACCCCAGACTAAACTAAAGGCTGAGCCCAAGCGCCTTACTTAGCACCAGCTTTGGGGTGGCACCCATGCCCAGAGCTCTTATCGTACCCTAAAGTACCCAGCTCTGTGTGAGGATGAGGACAGATTTGAAATGTAATGTTGCCCAAAAGAGTAACAGGTTGGTCTCCAGTGCTTCCTGCACCTCAGCAATGTGCCAGCAGCAGTACTGATCCTTGGGTAGACAGGGCTAGGAAGAGGGAAGTCAAAGGCCTCTCTGAAAGCAGCAACGACAACACCTCCCACATCTCTCACTGGCTCCTGCTGCATCCATGTGAAATCCCTCCTGCCCTGCAAAGTGCCAGTGTTTGCAGCCAGAGCACGTGCCATGGATTTTTGTTGTGCCATGCAGCTGAGAGTCAGCTCAGCCCTCTCGGAAGCAGGGAAGCACTGCCCAGAGAGCCCTCAAGGATGGAGACAGCCCTGGCAGCTCCAGATGCTCTGGATTAAACTACCTGGTAGCACAGAGCTACCAACCCCAGGGCAACTTGCCTGAACATGGAAACAGCTTCCAAATCTGCAGGTCTGCGAGGAGTCCTGGTGCTTTGATGCCTGGAGCAGGATGACAGGCCTTTGCTCAGGGATGGGGAGAGGTGCCAAATACCCGTCTGCCATAATGCCAGGAGTATCCCTGCTTTCCACTCTCACATCCCTCATGTAGTGGCCGTGTCCAGCTGCTGGCTCACAACTGTGGTTGCTCAGCTCTGCTCAGCCAGAGTTACAGCACCAAGTACCACCAGCAACACTTCTGGTCCAGGCTCCTGTTTAATGCCAGTGTGGGATTTGTCCCTTCATGGTGGGTTTTATCTGGTTTAGTCACCTGGCTCTGCCCCAGCACCCACCTTGCTGGGGAAGGACAAAGCTAACAAGGGTTCCATGAGGGTTCTGGGACATGAGACTCATCAGTCCAAATCCTGCCTCAAACAGGTTTTTCCTGTGACTTGACCCAGTCCCATAGCCACTCCCTGCCTCATTTCCCCTTGCGCAGTGTTAACCCTGGTCTCAATGAGACCAGGTTCCACTGAAACTCCATGTGGAGGATTCCAGGACCATGTCTGCTGGCAGAGCCCCAGGGTGTCTCCTCATGCCATGAAATCTAATCCTGGAGCTAAGGAACGCCAGGAGCTCATCTGCTGTTCACCATTTGGTACAAATTACCTCCTGCCTGTGTGCAGCCTCTGGACCCTGGTACCTTTCTTTCGTCTCCTTCTGCTGCCACTCCAAAGCCCAGGTGTCCTTTATCTGGTGTCCCCTCTCTTTGCTGGGGATGTAAATCCAATATTCTGGTGGATTTTGTGACAAAGGCCATAGACGCAGGCAGAGCAGTGTCATAGCTGGGGAGCTACACATGGGCTCAGGTGGGGCTACAGCTGGGAAGTCCCTGTGGGAGGGATGCTGCCATTTCCAAGGCTCCCCTGGGGTCTGATGTCACATCATGTCACTGTGCCATTGCTTGTGGCTTTGTCTGGGGCATCCCTGGAGGTCTGTATCTTCCTCTAGACTCACACAGCCCTGTGGTCCCTGTGGTGTCCATCATTCCATGACCAAGACACTTTCCTGGGGATGGAGGACCCTTCCCTTCCCTGGAACCAATCTCCAGCACTGTACAGGGCCATTCTTGGCTGCACTTCCATGGGGCTGGATGGAGCAGGACCTGGGCAGTTATGACCATCCAAACATGAGTCTGGTCCGGCTGCTCACCCCCACCATGGGGGAATATTTCTTTTTTGGCATTCTCAGCACTGGTTGCATGGCTGGATGCAGGGATGCAGTGTTGGGAGGGTTTTGTTAGAGCAGGGATCTTGTGAGGATGTCAGAACAAAAGCACAGATGGGTGGAAGTGGAGGATATGGAGGATATGAAAGATGGGGAGGATGCTGCAGCTGGACTCCCCTCAGGTTTTGGCCCTGTGAGTGCCTGGCAGTCCTTCCGAGATTCAGACACTGCCTAGCTGTGAGAAGGTCAACACCGTCCCAGTACAGCCTATACGAATAAATTCTGTATTTTTTAGTGACTTTTTTTTATTATTATTTTTGGAGCTTTTTTTTCTAGCCATAAAAACTAATAAACCCAAGTACAAAATCTGCATTTTTAAAATATGATAGCAGCTAATTTCACCAATCAGCTGATCCTAAAGACTCCAACTTTTGGAAAAAAGCAATCCTGAAATACAGGGAAATGAAAGATAAACTGGGAAGGATGATGGGAACTACCCACCTGGTGCTGGGCAGAGCTGTGGCCCTGAGAGAGGTGTAAGCAGGGAACCTCAGACTGGTTTTGGTTGGAAGTGACCTTAAAGCCCATCCAGTTCCACCCCCTGTCAGGAGCAGGAACATCTTCCACTAGACCAGGTTGCTCTGAGCTCCGTCCAGCCTGGGATTGAATTTAGGGAAGTGATGCACTTGAAACACCCCACACATCTGTGGCTCAGCATCACCCTGTCCTGACTGGAGAAAATTACTTGGTCCCAGCCAGTCTGCACTTGGAGTAACCTCTGTGTGGTGCAGGAGCAGCCACACACTTTGTTTTCCCCCTCTGCCAATTTGAGCAAGAATGAGCACAGAGGAAACCTGATAAAGACATTTGAGGAAACTTGAGAAAGGTACAAACCACATCCTGTCCAGCCCTTCTGTTTGACTAAGTGATAAGTATCTTAGCTTTCTTGGCTGATCCCCACCCTACCATTCTGGGGATGTTTCTTCCCTGGAGCCTCTCCCTTCCTGCCAGCATCTTCCTGGGAATGGAATGCCCCAAACTGAGCATCAGAGATATCACATGCACAGACCCAAACTGCAGCTCTATGAACTCATACTCTTGCAGGGGCTATACCATGTCCTGTACTGACGACAGCTCCATCTGGCAGCAGATCGGAGCCTCAGGCTGTTCCTGGGAATTCACCAATCTGAAATTCTTTAGACAGAACAATGTTGCCCCAAACCCCGAGTATGGCCTTGAAAACAATGTGACTGCAATCAGCATATTGCAGTTTCAAGATTTCCTTTGAGCCCTAGGAACACACCTGGGGAGGAAATAATACTTTTTCAGCTTTTCTGTACTTCTGACATTGGAAAACTTTATAAAAATACAAACTACATTTATGCCAAGATCATCTGATGGCAGAAATCAGATTTCTTAAAGAAAAGCATCAAAATAACATGAGAAAAATAACACCGGACAGCCATGCTGACATAAATGCCCCCTCCCCGGCCCTTAAAATGTACAGACACAGGGAGGGATTACCTGACGTGATTTCTCCCAGTGAATTTTCTGTTTCTAAAGAATAAAGCCCAAGTCACACCCCAGTCCTTCAGTACAAACCAGTAGCCAGAGCCAAACACAGAGCAGATAGAGGATATAAACTCACTACATCGAGTAAGAGTAACTCACTAAAGTATGTCTTGACCCTATAACAACCTTGATAACTTCCTGGACCCGACCCAGCCGAAGCCCAACCGGCCTAAGCGGTGCTTCGTATGTGCAGCTCAGGCTGCCAGCTCCCCCTCCGACGGCTTTTCCCATAAAATCACAGACCATGGGAATGCAGAAAGTTCTGGCATTTGTAGAAGTAACTGGCAACATCTTCACTAAATGGTTTTAAGCAGTGACAGAAGTGAGAGAGTAAACCTACCCCCGCTGCCAGTAGCGCAGAGCAGGAGGATCCCGAGCGTCACGGAGAGCTGTCCCATCTTCTCTGAGCCCCGGGCTGGGGGGACTGCTTGGACCAGCCCCACCAGGAGTGATGGGCAGCGGCTCTGTAATAGCTGGAGGTTTTTAGCGGGCGAGGAGGTGAATCATGAGGCTGGGTGAATGACACACATAGTGACTGGGGAGGCCGCAGGAAACTGCTGTCTCGTCACTTCGGAGTGTCCCCGCCCGCTCTGCCTCCAGCTCCTTATGAGGTTTTTACTCTCCTGGCTTAAACAAGGAGCTCATAAACCCTGGCAGCGAGTCCTCCCTCGGCACTGGTGACCGGCAGCCCCGGGGCTTGTACCAGGCTCTTTCCCGTAGGCTCTTCCGCATGGCTTTAATTCCTTACAAAATCTTGTTCACTCCTTCCTTTTATTAACTCTTGAAAGGCAGCTGGTTCTAAACCTCGTCTGAGCTGCTGAAGTTCGAGGATTTAAGGAGAAATCGAGCAAATATGCACTAATACAAAAGTGTGGGTTCTCAGTTCCCTCACCAGAGAGGGAATATCCCTACTGAAGCAGAGCTGGGAGCTGAAGGAGATGCAGCCAGGAGCTGGACCTGGTGGAACCAGCAGTCTGGATAACAACCTGGACATCTCAAAGGGAGGGAAGCTCAGCTTGGGGTCACATAATTTGAACCTGATTTTCTTCTCACCTGTATGGGGTTTTTCCCTCTGTGTTCTCAGTAATTGATCCTGTGCTGAGAAAATCCTGGGATTTGGATCTGCATAGGGACTGTGTTCCCTGAAACATCAGAACTGCCTGTGGGTGTCTCTCAAAGGGGTTTTATAAACCTCTTGTTCCCCTGCAATACCAGGGTCCCAGTCAGAGCTGGGGAAACTGAGGCACTTCTCTCCCTTAGGAGAAAAAGGGAGAGAAGGGCTGTAGTAATTTCCCTGGGATGCTCTCTCCTACTGGGTGACAGGGGTTGGGGACAGTAATGACATAAACCTGGGTCAAGGCAACCCAGGACACAGAAATACCAAGCTGTGGAATACAAGTTTTAGTGGGTGCCAAGAGCTGCAGCCACATCTTGGAGGTGCTGGAGGCTACAGACAATGTGGACAAAGCTGTACAAGAGCCACAGGCTCATGATAGGAGATGGGGATGACAGCACTTGTCCCAGAGCTGGCAGCTGTCCACAAGAGGTGACGGTTTTTGTGAGGATGAGGTAGAGATACAGACTCTGCCTCAGGACCTGGGAGATCTCCTTGGCTTTAAAAGAAATTTTGGCACCTCTTTGCTTCTCCACACAGCCCCACTGACCTCGAAGATGCTGCTGTCCTCCTCAGTGGAGAACCACTATCTGCCTGGGATCCAGTTCCCTCCCCAGGGTTTGTTAATAGCAAAGGGGACTAGGAGAAGCCCTTCAACCCTCATGCAGTAACAAAAAGGCCTGAATTGTGGATAAGACATCAATACAAACCCCAAACCTGTTTTTCGGCAGCTCCAGTCTTGCGCTGCTTCAGATCCAGGAGCCATGTCTCACTGCAGATCCCATCAGCCAGTTTTAGGGCATCCAAATTCCTTATTTTCCTGCCTGGACATGCTGCCTATGTGGCCTTTTCCATCATGTGGGGCTTTCTGCCCACACAGTTTCCATGTGCTATGCTGTGTCATCCTGCGACTGTGTCTGAGTGTTTCATGGAAAGGAAGATTAGTCTTAACTATCTACAGAGGACTATGGCATCCTGTTTGGCTCTGCACACCTCCAGACCCAACCTACTATCCATCTCCCAGGTGCTCTTCACCAGGGACCCGTCCCACCCAGCTCCTGGCTGCCCAAACTGGCAAGTGCTGCTGCTCCCAAAGGATGTGCAGCTCTGTGTCCTGGAATCCCCTGTCCAGAGTGGGCTGTGATACTCTCAGCATGGTGCAAAAACACTAAAGAAAAACTGAAAAGTCACAAAATGAAATATTTGACCTGCCTTCATGTTCCTGGGCTGGTCCTGCCTGAGGACAAGGATGGAATGAACTCAATCCAACGTTTGGTGGAATTTCCCTGCAAACTGCAATAAGGTGCTGCTAGTCCTGAAAACATTGCCGGGAAGTGAATGTTCCATCCCTGGAAGTGTTCAAGGCCGGTTTGGACAGGTCTAGCAGAAAATGTCCTTGCCCATGACAGGGGGCTAGAATGACTTGAGGTCCCCTTTCCAACCAAAACCATTGCAAGATGCCACAATGTTATCTCCAGGCACTGCATAATAGGCAGTGGGATGCTTCAGATTTTGGGTCCCTGGTGGGATGAAGACAGGAGCCAGCAGAGGAGTGTTTGTGACCCATCACCACAGGCTGTGACCCAGGAGCAATGGGTGCAGCCCAAATCCATGATGGGATGTGCTGGGAGAGGAGATACTGGAGCTGGAGCCACCAGAGGGAGCAGAAACTCCTTCAGTCTGGGAGCATGCGGGGAGAGGATCTCCTACCCAGGCTGGGGCAGTGAGGACGCTCTGATTTTCTCTGGGATTTTTTTCTGGCCCTCAGGTTAAACACAGATGGTAGTTGGATCAGGGTTTTCCCCTCCTTCCTGCATAACTTCTGCTGCAACTGCCCTAGCAGAGTGGGCAGCAACCCAGAGAGAACTGCCAAACGCAGAAAAAGGAGGAAAATGCAACAAGTAAACCCTGACCTGAACACTTTTGAGCCTCTAAAGTCATAGCAGCAGAACATGAAGTCCCAGCTGCCCCAAAAGGAAGATCACTTGACACTGTCCCTACCAAGCTGCCTGCCACCCTCAGCCAGTCACAAGCTCCTGACTTTGGCTACAACTCATCAATCTTCATTTTTGTTTTATCAAAATTCCCTCAAGGGCTGGGTAAAGGAAACAAGCCAATATATACATGGATAAACTAGGGCAAGGTCCTCACACTGTGCTTTGGGGGTGATCTGATGCTCTGGGCCATTCAGACACATTTCCGGGCAAATGTCAACAGGCAAAGCCAGGAAGCTGGGACATGGCAGTGCTGTGGGCACAGCCCTGGGATGAGCAGGAGCAGGAGTAAACCAAACAAGCTTTTTGTTTGGTTTGGACACCCTGACTTGTGGTGTCATTTTGGGAACTTATGCAGACACAGAGAGGGGAGTGATGGTGAAACTTGCCCTGGGATTGCCTTGGTGGGGCTGAGGGGCCTGTGATGCTCTGGCCTTGGGTGCTGTGGTGATGCTGCTGTGGGACCCAGAGCTGGGGACAGGGCAGAGATCAGAGTGCAGCACTGCACAGAGCTCACCTCTGGAGGAGCTGAAGTGGGAAGGGGAGGAGAGGGAGACCATGTGCCCTGAGGAAGAAGCCCTCAGACAGAGGAACAGGATGCAGAGAGGGGCTGGATCCAGCTCTTCTCTGCAGGCACAGGACAGGCATCACCAAGCAGAGCTGGGGGTGGACTGGCTGGATTGGGCCACGCTGCTCGGAGAAGGAGTGGGTGGTGCAGAGCAGCAATTGGAGATTGGTGACAGCAGCATTGACCTGAGGCTTACAGGAGCCTTCAGTGGGACCTGCCAGCAGTCTGGGATGAACACTGACCATGCAGGATGCTTTTGGGAACAGGTGGGAGGGCTGGAGGGAGGGATGAGTTAGGCACCACTCTGCAGGGCCTTAGGGGTTAGCCCCCACCTGGGGGTGGCGCAGGAGTGGGTGCGGGCACCTGTGGCAGGGCAGAGATGGGGAAGGGGTGGGCAGCAGGGTGAACGTGGAGGGGGAGGAAGGCGGGCCTGTGTCGAGGCTGGAAGTGGGTGGAGTTGCTGTTTTTCCTTTGAGCACGCTGGAGACTTTTAGCTTGTAACTTGCATTTGTGGAGCTCCCAGCCGGCAGATACCAGCTCTCCCTCCTGCGGGAGAAAGCCCGGGATCCGGCAGCACCACTCTGCTGTTTCAGGGGCAGGTTGGGAGGGCAGGGGGCATGGGGTTATCCCCAGCTACTGTCCTCCCCCGCAAGTCCCTTTCTCCTTTTCTCTCTCTCTCCTTTTGCTTGTTTGGGGGCTCGTGCTAATGCTCTGACAGGAGGGATCTGGGATCTAGCCATCCGTCAGCTTCACGGACTGGCTTCTCACCTGCTCACAGCCTTTAGGAAGTTCCCTCTCCATCCCGGGCGCTGAGAGAGGAAAGGCAGGAAGGCGGCTTGGAGCTGCCAAGCCCTGGCCTGTGAAGGGTGGACGGGGGGATAACAAGCTTCCCTTTTACCTTTCCTGAAGATTGGGGGTCACACATAGACCATGAATGGATCCTTTTTCAACCATACTCTTCTGGAGCAGGCAGCTGACCCCAACAGGACTCAGGGCTTGGGGATGCTCATGGCCTGCTGCAATGGGACCAGCACGGTGCTTGTGACTGATGGCGGCTCCTTGGTCCTGGCACCTGACGAGAGGAGCCTTTTCATCACGAGAGTGGTACAGATTGCTGTCCTCTGCATCCTCTCCTTGACTGTGATGTTTGGCATCTTCTTTTTGGGCTGCAACTTGCTCATCAAGTCAGAGAGCATGATTAACTTTCTGGTGAAGGACCGACGACCTTCCAAGGATGTGGGCGCTGCAATCATGGGACTTTACTGAAGCCACCGGGCTCTTGTAGGCAAGTGAACTGTCTGGACCTGGTGTTGAGATGCACATTTCCATGTGTTTGGGGCAACTGGGGGGAGTGGGAAGGGGAGAGGGGTCTTTTAGTCTGTCTGTGTCCATGGGAAAGCAAACCTGCTCTTCCCAGTCAAGAAAATGTGGTGGCAAATGTGGAAACCACTCCAGAGCTATGTGAAGTACAATAAATGACCAGCATTTTGTTGCATGCAGAAATGGCTTAAGTTTTGCATGAAACTTGCAGAAACAGTGCTAATGTGGAGATCTAGACTCTTGACTGCTGTTACCTTGGATACCACTACCTGGAATTTAGGGCTAAAAAAATAAAAGACAAATAAGTCATTATAGAAAGAAAACAAAAGAACAAACTAATGGGAGAGCAAAATACAGGGCACAGACCTTATCTTTGAGATGGCAGGGGAAGAGAAGTGCTGTGTGGGTCATTAAACAAAGTCTGCATGCTAAAAAATGTCAGTCTGTTGTGTTTTGGACCTTGAGCATGCATCTTCTGGTAGTTTTGTAACAGGGAAAGCATGTTCTTCCTTATTTTTCTGAGCTATCCTGTTAAATAAACTGGTACTTTCTTCTTTCACGCTATGGTGGAGGAAGGAAAGGACCCAGATAAATATAAACCCCTCCCCACCCCAAAACAAAAGCATGTTTGTTTTTGTACACACTAGACTCTTTTTCCAAGTGCTACATTGTTACAGTCCTTGAGGTTTTGTACTTTTTGAAAACTGGTGAAAATTCAGGAAAAAAATCCAACCTGTTTCAACAGAATTTTGTGTTGTCTTTATTATTTCTGTGAGTGTGTAGTTCAGGAATTTCAATCCTAGTTCCAGGTAAAATCATATCACCTTGAAGTGAAGTGTAATTAGAGGTATTTCTTTAAAGCAGAAACCACTGTCATTTTTCACAGGCAATTTTCACTAGCAAATAAATTCATCAAATACTCTGTATTGCAGGCTTGTGTTGAATACCTGCACATTGCTGAAACAGAGACTCATAAAGATGCTCTGAGTGCCTCTTGCAAAGCAAGATTTCAGCCTTTGAGTTAAAACCCCTAGCTCCTCTGATCCTAATGAGCTGTCAAAGCTGAATTATATGAGAGGAGGAAGACTCCTGACCTTTGTTCTGTGATGGAATTACAGCTCTGGCTGTGGGTGTGAGGTAGAAATAATTTGTGTTTTGTTGCACCAACAATATTCCTGTTGGGTTCACTTCTGTAGTGGGAAAGCAATCCTGGACACTGGAGGAGCTGACGAACTGAGCTAGTTGGATGTAAATCTAGAGGAACAGATCTCTGCCATTCCCAGAGGGAAAAACATGATTAGAGAATGTTTTGTAATTAATTACTATTGTCTGAGTACCTTCCTGAGGTTCCCACATGATGCAGAGCAGGACCCGTGTAATGCTGTACCTGGTTGCTCCCACTGACCTGTTGGCTGTGTAAGTCTTAGGAGCACACTGACAACGTGGCAGCAGGGGCAGAATTTGTGATTCAAAACTCTGAAATGTCCTGTTTTTGCCAGTGGAACGGCTGAACAGGCAACTCTAGCTTTTATGAGCACTTGCAGGTCTGCAGACCTGAGCCAGCTTCTCAGTGCAGAGGGTCTGCTGCCCTGCTGCCACATGCAAAGTGGCCTCACACGGCAGCCTGGAAGGGGATTTTGGTCCCTGCTGCTGCAAGGGATGTTGTGGCCATTGATCTCCTGGAACAGACTGCTCAGAGTGATGCCTTGGATGAAAACTGGCACAGGTTGTCCAGAAAAACTGTGGCTGCTCCATCCCTGGAAGTGTCCAAGGCCAGGCTGGATGGAGCTTGGAGCAGCCTGGGACAGTGGAAAGTGTCCCTGGCCATGGCAGGGGTGGCACTGGATGAACTTTAAAATTCCTCCCACCCCAAATCATTCTGGGATTCCATGATCCCATGATCTCTTTGCATATGTGTGCAAACTACCACCATTGCAGGAGCACAGCCTGGTCAGATGTGAGGGTGAAACATGAAAAACCCCAAAGCAGGCAATGACCCAGCTCTGCAAACACTTGGGCTGTACTTGTGTTTATAAGCTAAAAATGTATCTGCATCTCCAGGCTGCTGTGCTGTTACTGGATAACCCAGATGCACTCACTGAACTCCCATCCCATCCTGTTTTCAGCTGACATTTGGTCCCTCTTGCCAGTTCACCCACCAGCTGTGTCCCCAGTGCAGAGGACAACTCACAGATGATGGAAGAAACCTTCCAATGCTAGCAAGGAGAGAAAGACACAGGGAAAGCTGCTGATGCAAAGAAAGGATAAAATTTACTTTTGCCCTGCAGCAATACCATGAGTGAAGCATGGTCACACAGCTGTCCCCACCTCTGCCAGGGCTGTGACCTCTGGTGTGTGTGGTGAGGGTCCTGCCATGTGTCCTTAGAGGCCACATCCAGGAATGGGACATGAGGGTCTTCAACCCTTTTGTGCTGTGGAGTGCTCCAGAGGTAAGGAGAAATATCATCCACAGAGGGCTCATGTACACATGAGCTGGAGGAGCAATGAAAGGAGACAAAGTGGAGCTGGGCATCTGCTGAGGCAGGTGGAGCTTGCTCAGGACTTTGCTGGGAGAGGGAACATTTTCCACATGGGTCCTTGGGACAAAAGCCCAACTTCACTTTGGCTTGTCAACAGGACAAGATGCTCTGAGTGCCTCTTGCAAAGCAAGATTTCAGCCTTTGAGTTAAAACCCCTAGCTCCTCTGATCTTGATGAGTTGTCAAAGCTGAATTATATGAGAGAAGGAAGACTCCTGACCTTTGTTCTGTGATGGAATTATACAGCTCTGGCTGTGGGTGTGAGGTAGAAATAATTTGTTTTGTTGTGCCAACAATATTCCTGTTGGTCATGCTGTGGCTCTTTCCTGAGATCAGCGATATGTCTGCATCACCAGATTGTGTGATCCTCACAGAGGATCCTCAGAGGAAGCAGCTGATGGCACCATCCACATTTGCCATATTGCAGCACGTCCCTGTGTGCTTCTGCCTTCCTTGTGCAGGGGTTAAGACACTCAAAACACTTGGACACATCCTTATCCCATTTAGATGCCCAGTAAAAGGCTGATTACCCCACTGAGGAGGAATTATTTGTGGAAGAGAAATCTGACATCATGAAGGAGCCCCTTGGATCAGAGATTATGGGTCTAAAGACCATCTTGAGGTGAAGTCATGTTTGCTTAAGGGAAGGTACTGAGGGTACCATGATGCTCCCCAGATCTCAGGGGAAGAGCTGTGATCTCAGATTCTGAAAACCCAGATGTCCTGCTCCAGAGACATGAGTTCTGCAGCTGGAGGATGAGGTTGCTACTAAAGGGCTTGTTGAGGAAAGCAGACCATAATGGCTTTTTCTGTTGCCTTTCCCCACAAGCTGTGGTTTTTCATCTAACACCTACTCATTTAGCATAAGCTCACAAGTGGGTACCAGCTCCCAAGAAAATTCAAACAATTTTTTTTTTAACTGTCATTTATTACTATTTTTTAACTTTTTTATTTTTTTTGTAATTGTTGCTTGTAGCATGATAATTTCCTGAGTGCCACTGGGGTGCCAAGAGCTGCTCAAGCATAACTGAGAGACACTGCTGGAAGGACAGGGAAGGAAGGGATATACTTAGATGGATTATCACATCAGTGATCAGTGGCAGGCTGAGGACCAGCCATCGAGCCTCATCTAAAATCTCTTCCTAGCAGTGGATCACAAACCCATGGGACTGGTTACACCAGTCTGAGTAACTGGTCCATCTAGTCTGCATCCCTTCTCTGAAACCATCCATGATTTTAGGCAGTACATGATCTTGGAGGTCCTTCTCAACATTAATGATTCTTCGACTCTATGACTCTATGGTCAGTCAAGTTGTCCTGCCCAAGGGCAACCTGCCCTGGACCCTCACCATCCTCCTCCAGGCACAGCTCCCTGTCTCTGGGCTGGCCCCTACTTGCTGTGATTCTGCTCTAGCTGGAATTTCTTTCTAGGCAGGGAGCAGGAAAACAGAAAAGAAATGCAAGTGAGAGCATTTCCCCCTGCTGAAGTGCCTGCAAAGGGAAATCCTCTGCTTAAGGAATCACTGGCTGAACAATTGCAGAAATAAGGAGGTGGCTTGACCCGCTTGGAAAATGCTGGTCATACAGATGTTGCTGTAGTAGGGAAAATAGCAAAGTCCCAGATGACACCCATCTCTTTCCCCTGCCTTGGCAGCCTGGACTGAGGGAATGGAAGAGTTAAACATGATGAGACAAACAGACAGACAGATTGTGGGGGGGAAAAAGGATCCCAACCTGAGCTTGGCACTAGATGTACTGGAGCACCTGCACCAAACATACACAATATTTAATAATTCCTGAGAATTGCCATGGTAATAAAACACAGAGTCAGGTTGTTATGGTAACAGTTTGGGTGTTTTTTAGGCAGGGAGGCATTACTTGGGTTGTAACTTCAATCCAGACTGAACACATTTCTGAGAGCCCAGAAAATAAAAAAGAAGTAAAATGAAATCAAATTAGATAAGTATCAGTTTCCTGTCTTTTGTCTGGCAGTCCTGGGTTTGTTCTGTACATAGATAGAGGGAACCAGGCTATTCCAGACACGTTGCCCTGGAAAGCCTGAGGAATAGCTGGAATGGATTTCTGCAGGTTTAAACTGTGTGCTAGAGGGGGTGAGGGGGCTGAGCCGCTCTCATGGATGGGTCTGGGATGATGCTCCACCACCACCTTGGTTCCTTGCCACACCTCCGACCTACGTCCAGGTGTGTCCCCAGCTAGCTAAAGGGAAGGACACTCTTGTCTTTGAAGGTGTGCACACACAAGAGAGCAATGATGGACAATCCCTGAACCTAGCTGGGCCCACAGCAGGGTGCTGTGGTCCCAGGTAACAGCCTGCCCACATCCCAAGTGATGGATGTCCCAATGCTGGTCTCCAAGACAAGACAGGCATCTGGGGGCTGGAAAGGGGTAACAGACCACTTTTCTAAATCCTCATGACAGACCTAAGAAGAGAGCACATGTTTCCTAGGCTCTGGCAAGGTGTCTAGGGTGCTGTGCTCCCTAGAGGGGCATCTATCAAGCAAGATAGAAACTTCCTGTCTCCCTCCTGCCCTCACAGCTGTGGGCAAAAGGCAATTCCACCTCCCCTCCCAAGCCAACCCCTCCAGCAAGTGTATGAGGTCTGTCCAGCTGGTGCTCATATGGAATTTTAATTCAGTGCTGGTTAAAGCAGCAGCTTTGTGGCCCTGTTTTCTCTGGAGGAAGCTGAGGCAGTGCATGTTGGGTTCACTTAGCAGAGACATGGCTTGAAATCAGCACTGCCATTACTCAGGAACATTGCTCCATAAATCCACTACCCTCAGCGTCTGTCTCTTTTACTGGCTGTGCAAGAGCTATTAGCCTCCAGATAAAGCCTCCGTAGTCCATTAACTCTGCCAGAGAGGGACAAGTTGATGCCTTCAGAGTCAGGGACTCAAGGAAGACTGAGGCCAAACAATGACATAGTTCAGACCCAGCTTTGCCTTGTTGGAGACTTTGCCTGCAGGTTTATCTGTTTGAAAGGGAAATGTTTTTGTCTTTCTGTGTCTTCCATCTGCTTTGCTGCTGAGGCTGCTGAAAGCATTTTGGTGTGGAATTCCTCAGACTCCCTGCCCTGCCCTGGCCCCATCCTTGAGCCTGACTGAAGGTGCCAGCCTGGCACTGGGCTTGCTGTCTACTCAGATGTGCAGAGCACCTGGTACCCAGAGAAAACCTTGGGGCAA